AGCCCCACAGCCTCCGGAGTGAGACTCCATCGACAGAGTCAGGAGAGACAGGGAGTTCAGCCTCAGGACCGCACAGAATTCCTTATAAAGTCTGTAAGAGCTGCCCATGATGGTGAAATCACACAGTTGGTATATTACAATTTTTTAATTCCTTGTGTATGTTTAGTATTATGAGTAGCACAGTAACGCAGTGCTGTGTTTGTCCTGCGATGGACTTGCATCTAGTGCTGGGCGATAATTCGATAACGATAGTTACCCCGATATAATTGTCCTCGATATAATTTTAACAAAAGTTCAATATATATGTTTATGCTTTGCGCATGATATGCGCATGCCCACAAAATACTGTGCGAGTGCGCGTGCGTGTTGCAGACTGGGCAGCTAATGTGGTGTTGTTTACCCACACGGTGGTGGCTGACAGGACTGTAGTTAGAGTGGAGAAACGAACGACACTGAAGCAAATGTAGTGCTGCCAATGACCAGCTCGAAGGACGATGACATCGTCGACAGAAAAGGTAATTCAACTTCGGTAATTTGGAGATATTTTGGCTTTTTACGATCATAAATTTTCCATTAAGATATTTATTTTGTAAATTTTACTCATGCATATTGTAACGCTTCGGGGTTCAGCCAGGCGCCCTTGCCGTCCCCGACAGTGGGGGGCCAACCATAAGTGGCAACGGCAAGGGCGCCCGCCTGAACTCCGAAGCGTTACATTGGTGTCAGCAGTGGGATGGGATAGCCCTTCGCCGAGGATGGCGAGTTAAGCGGGGGAGAGTATAACGCTTACAGCCACCATTGAGTGTGAAAGCCGGCTTACCAGAGCGGTGACGTCTCCGCTCTTCCCTGTAATAGCAGGACCACAGCCGCGGGGCTGAGGGGAGATCTCTCTTTAGCTCAACAGGCTGGGTCCCTGTTGAGTGACACCGGAGGCCCGGGTTCACATCCCCGATGGTGGGGGGCCGACCATAAGCAGCAATGGCAAGGGCGCCCGCCCGAACCCTGAAGTGTTACAATATTTTGACATAAAAAAAGACTTGAATGCTCTCTACCTCAGATTTGTTTGATGTTTCTGCTGTTTGGCAAGTATTTGTTGTGTTCTTAAAATAAAGAGTTGTTTAATTTACCAATTAACTGTCTGGTTTCTTCACCTTTCACTCAGGAGAGAAAATCTGCCTTTAAACTTGAAAGAAATAATGATTTGACATTTATTGTGATAATTATTGATATCGACTGAACATTTTTATCGTGATAATGTTTCTGGCCATATCGCCCAGCCCTACTTGCATCCCATCTAGGGTGTATCCACTGCTTGCCAGGATAGGCTCTGGCTCCACTGTAAGGATAAAGGATAGAAAATGGATGGATGATTTCTGAGGAATGTTAATTTATATCCCTATTTTTTCATGCCTTATTTTAATTCAATCATATAATTCCTCTCTATCCCATTAGGTATCTAAGGAAAAGTACATTTATTTCTAGATATATACAGTATGGAAAAAGACATCAATACATAAATAAAATTTTCCAATCTGCCTTCTGAGAGAACAGCATGCTGCCATCTCTCTTAAATTTCGGAAATCAATAAAATGTATTTCTCGTTCTCTGCATGTCATTCTTTGATTTAACCATGGCACTCCCCTAACTTGGTTTTAACTAGATAGATACTTTACTGATCCCGTGAGGGAAATTGCAGTGCAACAGCAGCTTAACACAGACAACACAGCCACAGTGTAACGAATGATACAATAATAATAATAATACAATACATACGATACAATCAGTACAGTGAGAAGTGCACTAAGAAGAGTTACTCACAGTCCAGAACACACAAAGAACAAACCAGAACAGAACAGTACACAAAAAAAAGTCGTATTGCACAATATGAATATAAATATAAATGTATTGCACAGGTCCCTGGCATATATTGCACAAAAACGGTTGTAAACGGGAAAAGAAAAAGAACAGATGTATCAGTTTACTGTTCAGTCCAGAAACAGGTCACTGTCAATGTTGCCTCTGCCCAGACGCAAGGTGGATGCGTTGTACAGTCTTATGGCAGAAGGCAAGAATGACCTCCTGCAGCGCTCCCTGTCGCACCGTGGATGAATCAGTCTATTGCTGAAGAAAGTCTGATCTTTCCATCCAAACTTCAAAATGAAAAAAAAAACTATGTTTTATCTGAGGAAACGTCTTCAGGTTTTATGGAAAAAAAGATCCACAACTGAAACCTGTGCCTTTTCCTTTTTATTTTTCAAATGAATTTGTTACTTACTGTATGAGCTCACACAGATAGGCAACTCTGCATTCCAGGATTGCATCTATATCGGTGTTCTCTTAGACATTGTAGAGTGTTTTGACCCCATAATTATGCAATTAATTATGACCTGACATTTGGGGGAAACCGTACAAAAGTTTCAGAAACGATGTCATTTTAAAGGATTCGAAAGATACTGTATAGAACAGATTCATCCCAAAAGTAAGGAAATCAATGGATGGAAAATAGTTTGCAAGATGGTTTTGTAAATCAGTTCAACTTAGAAATCTTAAGAAACATATTTAAAAAAGAACAGCATCCAGATAGTAAAAGTGGGTCCAGGCCCACTGCAGGGCACACACACATGCACTCACACTCCATTTCACAGAACACAGTTAACCCACCAGCATGTCTTTGGGCTGTAGGAGGAAACCAGAGCACCTGAACACAGGGGGAACATGCACACTCCACACAGACTGCACCCCAGAAATTGAACCCAGGGCCCCAGCATATCAAGGCTGCAATCCTAACCCCACTATGGCACTGTGCTGCCCTTAAACCAAAATATATTATATTATAAATCCACAATGAACTAATAATACCTCATTAAGAACTGTCTGTACATTTCTCATCGCCACAACCAGATATTGCTGGTTTGGAATCAATCTAGAGAAGATAAATCAGACTTGTTATTGGGCCTCAGGAAATGTATCTTTTTATTATAGAAGAATATATTTCTTTTTTTAACATTCTCCAACCACTTCTTCCAATTCAGGGTCTCATGGGAGGTGGAGCCTATCCCAGCAAGCAATGGGTGCAAGGCAGGATAACCCTGCACAGTGCATTCATTACTGAGAAAATAATTCATGTTTAGATATTTAGATTACATCATCTCAGGTAATATCACCTGGACCTGTCCAACTACATGAAATAACACCAGAGTAACTTATTTTCACCACAAGGTGGCAATATTTGTTTGTTGATTTGCATCCATCCATTTTCCAGTGGCTTTATACAACTCAGGGTCGCTGGGGAGCCAGAGCATATCCCAGCAAGCAATAGGTGCAAGGCAGGATACGCCCTGGATGGGACACCAGTCTGTCACAGGCCACACACAGACACATACATACACATTCACAAGGCCGGTTTATCGAGAAATCAATGAAACTACCAGTATGTCTTTGGACTAGAGAAAACCAGAGCACTTGGTAAAAACCCATGCTAACAATACAAACTCTGTATTATCCAGATGCTTGTCATGCATTTTATCTTAAATGCACAAATGGTCAAATCAGACACGATGAATAAGAATACTCAAGTACGAAAAGAAGTTTAGAGATTATTCCATTAAACATACCAACAACTTTGACTTAAATTCCACTTCCGACTTCAGCAAATGAATCAATTTGGCAGAGATCTCCTCAAGTGTTTGGCTGGACAGATGTTCTATGACATGCTAAAAGATTTGGTTGTTAGAGGTATAAGCTTGTAGTGCTTTCACTGAGACACTGTCCTATGCTAATATACAGTACTTTGACGCAGTCTCTGTTTTAGACTGTGGGCTTTACAGCTTTAAAATATTGGTTCTCATTTTTCTTCATGTTTGCTTCGAGCATTGAACGAGGTTGATTTTCATTTCCAAAGCAAAAAGATTTAGCAGTGCAATTTTTTGAAGGACAATAAGCAACCAGGATCATGGAAGAAACTACCTTAGTTCATCTAAAGGAATACTGCCAATTCACTGAGTGCAGAATGCAGGTATAATAATAATAATAATTGTTTACACTTATATAGCGGTTTTCTGGACACTCCACTCAAAGCGCTTTACAGGTAATGGGGACTCCCCTCCACCACCACCAATGTGCAGCCCCACCCGGATGATGCGACAGCAGCCATAGTGCACCAGAACGCTGCCCACACATCAGCTATCAGTGGGGAGGAGAGCAGAGTAATGAAGCCAGTTCATAGAGGGGGATTATTAGGAGGCCATGATTGGTAAGGGCCAACGGGAAATTTGGCCAGGACAGCGGGGTTACACCTCTACTCTTTTCGAGAAACACCCTGGGACTTTTTAATGACCAGTCAGGACCTCGGTTTTACGTCTCAACCAAAGGACGGCGCCTGTTTACGGTATAGTGTCCCCATCACTATACTGGGTATTAGGACCCACATAGACCACAGGGTGAGCACCCCCTGCTGGCCCCACTAACACCTCTTCCAGCAGCAACCTTACTTTTCCCAGGAGGTCTCCCATCCAGGTACTGGCCAGGCTCACACCTGCTGAGCTTCAGTGGGTTGCCAGTTGTGAGTTGCAGGGTGACATGGCTGCTGGTACTGTATACTGTCAAAGAGCCAATGTGTTCAGACAGAAAGCCTACTTCTGTATACAGCCTTACTGTACTGTTTGGACTAATTGAGGGCGATTCACTGGATCTGAAAAAAAAAAGATCAATATGTCTCGATCAATAAGCTACAATCAAGCAGATAAGAAAACAGGACTCAATGTTCTCCTCTGCTCTTTCTTACATTCTTAACAGTTTTTTTGTAGTTTTAAGTTAAACCTTATCCAAAGGATTGCCACATGCACTTGTACATATAAGACATAGTAACACTGCATTACTTTTCCCTCCCCTTACATCAAAACAGAAAATAGTTATGCAAAAAACAAAGCATTCAATTAACATAATGATTAAAGGGGTTAATAACAAACCTGGTTACACAACCCAGAGGCAAAGGTTAAAGAGACGCCTCAGAAGCTGGTAGCTCTTTCTCTCTTCAAGATTGCTGATTAGTGACTAGAACTTTAAAAGGCTTTGATGTCAGGGGCATAAATGTCAGAATCCAGTGGGGCCAGAAGAAAGCAGTGGAAAGATGGCTATTTGTAGTTTCAGTCCTGTTTTCGTGACAGACAAAGAGAAGACACGGGTGGAATCACGGACATCTGGCTTCAGGGTAGACCAGAGACCTCCCTGGTTCCTCAACATCTGCCTGGCTGTGCAGGTAAATAAAATTGCAATGCGATAAGCTTGCATACCATAAAAGCTTAGCACCAATCAGCTTTATTTTTTGGGGGTGTTTTCAAATGAGGTAATCAGTGTGAAAGACTATTATGTTTGCGGTTTGGAAAGAACTTTGTTTTGGCTATGGTGACTCGGTTCCCTGGAAGAGGTTTCTGGTTTGTATCCTCTTAGCAGATGAGGTTATAAGAAAGGCTACAAATGAGAGAAAGCTATTCTGCACATCTTGCCAGAGCCAGATTAAAAAAAACATTTAGAGAGCAGCCCATGACTGTGTTAAGAAAAGTATTCAATTTTTGTCCCCAAACCCAAGTAAACTTGATTTCTACTTGATCTGCTGGGTCCATGTGCCATTATTTGATTTTAACAACATCCTACACAAGAGATGTGTTTGCTTTTGGTGTTGCACTATAATGGAGACCCATTGTACAGTAGATAGACAGAGGTCTAGCTACTTTTATTGCATAAGGCCAGTGGAAAGGCAGAGCCTTGATCATGTCTGTTAAACAAGCCCTGCCTCTAGATTAAATTGTGCTGTACTTGCATTTAGGATGAACGAATAGTTCACATTTCTTATGCTGTGCTATCTATCCATATCAATACGCAACGTTTGTTCTGATTGGTGAATCACTGCTTTTGCCTTAAGGCATGTGTGAATAGATTTAGCTTTAGTTAGCTTTACTGTAGCTACTCTTTAGAAAATTAATGCACAAGACAATAACAAAAACACAGTTGCCACAGGAACAGTCCTGTGTACTACCTTTCAAAATCTGTGGATAAATTATATGTAGTGGATTTTTGTCCTTTTGAGTATTTGTTTTGCTAGTCTTGTCATTTTTATTGATAAGGAAATGAAAGTGTCTTCCCCCACACACTCCAGCTAGCCCTGGAGACAACCAGAGACATTTTACAGACTTTTTTAGAACTTTGATTCACTCTGGGCAATACCGATGAGTCCAAAAACATTAAGAACACTGCTGTGTGCAGAATGCAAACCTAGCACCTAGCATGGAGTATCGCTGTATTTCATCTTTGTTCTAGAACCTCCTGTTGACCTCCATTTCACCATAAGCTCATCTGGTCACATTGAAGAAAAACAGACTAAGTCACATCTTGGAAATCATTCACTAGTAATATACTGTATAGTATGTAATTCTGAACTCGTGCACGAGTGAAAATGGAAAATTAGTGATCTTTCTACGAGGTAACGAATAAAGGGAAATACCCCCAATTGTTTTCACACTTAAACTTTTCACAATCAAATTGAATTTATTAAGGAGGCACAGGGTCACAGGGGTTAGCATTTCTGCTTGCAGCATTGGAACCTTGGATGTATTTCCTGGGGAACTACAGTGTCTGCAACACGTGGGGTTTGCACAGTATGTTCGCTCTGCATTTGTGTGGGTTTCCTTCCACAGTCCAAAGACATACTGGTAGGTTAACTGGCCCTGGTGTGAGTGTGTGCATGTCTGTGTGTGTCCTGCAATGGATGTATCCTGCCTTGAGCCCATTGCTTACTAGGATAGGCTCCAGCTCCCCAACCACCCCTCCATTTTGGATAAAACAGTCAGAAAATGAATAGATGAAAAGGAGCATGGATTTTATTTTAGTTGAAATCTGAAATGCTGTTACGCGATACAGCTATGGTGAAATGTCGATGTGAATCCTGTTATCTTGGCTTTGCCTTTGTGTGAGTATAGGTGTGACACACTGGCTCATTATTAAAAGACTTTGTTACATAAAATCTTTTCAGATTTTTTTTTGGTGATTCTTCAGGCCTAACTTTGCGGGTGATGATATTTTAATCTCCTCATAGTTTTTTTTTATTTTTTTAAGTCATAAGGACCAACAGAAACAAGTAGGAGCCATTCTGTTTGTCTAGCCCATTTGTTTCTTAGTAGCTAATCGATCCAGAGATCTGATCCAGTCGCTTCTTGAATGGAGCCAGATTCCAAAAGATGTCTATGGAGTCGTGCCCGTCCGTGCAATCTGCACTTGTGTCTCCTGGTTTACGAAGTGATGGGGTTTACAACAACAGCAGCCAAGTTCAAGCTCATCTCAGCTGCTCTATTATGTAACCACACCAGATATCATTTCTTAAATTAGAAAATACTATAATTGCCTTAGGGAAGCCTTTTCTCCTCATGACCATCTTTCTCATCCTTTCTCCAACCCATCTCCACCTCTGCAGGCCCCCCTTAGTTCATTGCTCATTCTGCAAGGGGGGTCTCAGCCTCCAAATCCTCCTCATCCAGGTGACTGGCCTTCGGATGTCAGAAATCAAATGTGACTAAGCGCCCACAGAACAATTTTCAAGACATTTAGATGCAATAGGTTTATGTTTTTAAGATTGTCTTCATTTGGCAACACAGCTGGCAGCCCACTGAAGCTCAGCAGGTGTGAGCCTGGTCAGTATCCGGATGGGAGACCTCCTGGGAAAGCTAAGGTTGCAGCTGGAAGAGGTGTTGTTGGAACCAGTAGGGGGTGCTCACCCTGTGGTCTGTGTGGGCCCTAATACTCCAGTATAGCGATGGGGACACTATATTGTAAAAAGGCGCCATCCTTTGGATGAGGAGTAAAACCCCAGGTCCTGACTCTCTATGGTCATTAAAAATCTCAGGGTGTTTCTCGAAATGAGTAAGGGTGTTACCCCGGGGTGTTTGCTAAAATTCCCATCACTCTGTTCTCCTCCCCACTGATAGCTGGTGTGTGGTGAGCGTTCTGGTGCACTATGGCTGCTGTCTCATCATCCGGGTGGATGCTGCACATTGGTGGTGGAGGGGAGTCCCATTACCTGTAAAGTGCTTTGAGTGGAGTGTCCAGAAAAGCACTATATAAGTTTAAGGAATTATTATTATTATTATTAATTTACCTAGCATTCTTCTGCAGTGCAAGAAATGTCAGCTAATTAGCTCATTTATTTGACTGATATTTTATTTTAGATATTATTTTCTTATATTGCACCCATCTATATCAGCTGGATATGCTAATGGAACTAGTCAAGGCTTTAAGGGTACTATAGCAATGTCTCACCAGGGATATGAACCCACAACCTTCCAGTTACAAGCTACAGAAGCATAACCACTACTTCCCTATGCCCAGATGGAAACCTCCTGGCATTTCTAGCATCTTTCCTGGACTTCATGGGTCATTTTGTCCAGTTAGTTCTCTTTTGTTTGACAAGACACCTCTTTTAAGATAAGATCACTTTATTAGTCATATACTGTACAATTTCTTGCATTAGGAATTTGTCTTTTCGCATGC